TAAGTTTTAGTATTGTTAAAGGCATAAAAATGGCATCCTTTTAAAAATAATAAGTAAAAAAAACGAGACAAGCTTCACCAAATTAAAAATGTACAGATTTCGGAGCCCTCACAAAATATATGTATTAAATACTTAGATTCCGGGGCGGGCCGTTTAACAAATTTCACGGCCTTACCCAAAATAATAATGCGCTAGTTGCTTTAGGCGCGCCTTTAATAATATTATCTCCTTAAACTCGGGTGCACATTTATGTGACCCAAATCCAAGTCTCAACGAAATCGAAATGTGTCTCTAATCACGGGTACATTGATTGTGACGTGGTCTGAGATGCATTTCCATGACGTTGTAAATCCTTTTAATAATGACTGAGACGTGCCTCGACAAACAAATGCACAAGTTGCGGGGCCCTCTAAATGTATATATATTAAAACACCTAGAATTCGGGACATGCCGTTTAGCAAATTTTACGGCCTTCCCCAAAAATAACAATACGCTAGTGGCGTTAGGCACGCCTTTAATAATTTATTTTCCTTAACTCGGGTGCACGTTTATGTGACCCAAATCTAAATCCCAAACGAGTCGAGATATGTCAATAACCACGGGTGCATTGATGTAACGTGGTTCGAGATATATTTTCACGACGTTGCAATTCTCGTAAAAATAATGATAAAAGTGGTTAAAAGGTAAAGTTGGCACATTAGTTCATATTCGTATAAAATCAGATAATCAAGCCGAATATAACAGTTGAGCGACCGTGCTAGAACCACGGAACTCGGGAATGCCTAACACCTTCTCCCGGGTTAACAGAATTCCTTATCCGGATTTCTGGTACGCAGACTGTAATATGAGTCATTCTTTTCCTCGATTCGGGATTAAAATTGGTGACTTGGGACACCCTAAATCTCCCAAGTGGCGACTCTGAAATAAATAAACCAATCCCGTTTCGATTGTCTTTTAATTGGAAAAAACTTCCCTTGTACCCACGCGGGTGCGGAAAAAGGAGGTGTGACATCGTTATGAGGGATTAATATGCCATTTGTATCTGCATCATTGAATGTAATAATGCCTTCTTCTAGAACATGCCGCACCCGTTTCCCTTGGGTATTAGTTATTTTGGAAGTTTTGTTAGCTGCAGTATATAACACACCATTAATGTCTTCACCCCCACTTATAACGTTAACAGTTATTTTGGGAGAAGGTGATTTTGGAGGCTCCTGCCTGTTCTTCATGTAAGCTTGCTTGCCTTTCTCGCTGAACAACTCTGTAAGATATCCTTGTTTTAATAAATGATCAACTTCACTTTGTAAAAATCTGCAATCTGCTATTTTATGCCCATGATCATTATGGAACTCGCACCAATGGTCAGGGTTGCGCCTGTTTGGATTCGATCTCATTTCCTTTGGCCATCGAACCTTATCTCCCATGCTTTTCAAAACAGCTACGAGCTCGGAAGTGCTGACGTTGAAAGTGCTGACGTTGAAGTTGTAACCTCCGAATCTCGCTTTTAAATTTCTATCATCATCCTATGATTCATAGTTTTTTCGCTCGTTTCTAAATCTTGATGAAGAACCCGATTCTCTGTTTCTTGATCTGTGATCGTGCCTTTGATTATCCTGTTTTGACCGTGAGTCTTTCCCCGCAGGTCCCATTTAGGGCTCGTACCTATTTTTACCGAATCTTTTTTCATTCTCTGCACGTCTTGAACGTATATTTTCTTCTTTTTGAGATCGAGGAACAATATCTTCCTCAATCCTCAACTTCGTGCTATACCTGTTATAAACATCGTTCCACATTGTAGCTGGGAATTCTTGAAGGCTTTCCTTTAATCTCCTCGTAGCTTTCGAGCTTTGTTCATTCAAATTGCTTGTGAAAGCTATAGCTGCCCAGTTATCAGGTACACGCGGTAATGTCATTCTTTCGCGTTGAAATCTGTCCACGAATTCTCTAAGCAATTCTGAATCTCCTTGCTTAATTTTGAAAATATCCTCCATTCTTTTTTCCACTTTTTGGCTCCCGAGTGTGCTTTGATGAAAGAATCTGCAAGCTCAGCAAAAGAATTTATAGAATTTTCAGGTAAAAGGGAATACCACGTTAGTGCTCCTTTGGTGAGTGTTTCACCAAATTTCTTGACTAATACCTATTCGATCTCCTGCTTAGTCAAATCATTGCCTTTTACGCCCGTTGTGAATACAGTCCCGTGGTCCCGTGGGTCTGTTGTTCCATCATACTTTGGAATATCAGGCATTTTGAACTTTTTTGGAATTGGGAGTGGGGCAGCACTCGGCTTCCAGAGTTGTTGCGAATATCTGTCCATGTCTACCCCTTTGATTATGGGCGGCACCCCGAGTATCTGCTCTATGCGTTCACTTTGCTCCTTGAGCTGTTTCTGCAAGGTTAGTACTAAATTTTGTAAATCAAAATTAATTACATTACCTGGTTCTCTCTCCTGCGATTTACTGGGGGTTCCACCGCTGCCTGAGTTAACAAACCCGGAACGAGGGTTTTCTATAGTGTTATTATTTGGAGAAGGTGTGGGTGCTACAACAGGTAACTGGTTAACAAGCGCTTCAACAGCTTTGTTGACCTGAGCAGTAATTAACTTCTGCAGAGCTTCATCAACAGCTTCAGCATTTTCAAATTGAGCATACTCGTTTATTTGAGATCCATCGGGAGTACCCTCACGAGATTGCCGTGGAGAGTCCTGCGGAGTAGGAACCTGAATGTTAATGTTCTGTGGGCCTCCCTGACTTTGTTGGTTCTCTTGGTTTCCTGGGGTGTTGTCATTGTTATTCGACATGATTGATGTAACAAGGAAGGTCAAGTGAAAAGAAAATAGATTATCAGATTCCCGGTAACGGAACCAATTTGTTTAACCAAAAAATAGAATTTCAGTCAAAGCTAGAATTTAGAAGAACGCGGGTTACTGATAATCAAAAGAATATGTAGAAGAGAATAATTTGGAGTAACCAGAATGTAATTAGGAGAAAAACAAGTGAATTAGAGTATATTTCAATTGTGTCTGTCTTTACAAGTGACTAGATACCTCCATTTTATCGGTGTCTTGAAGATATGCGTTTCCTTCAAATCATAATGAGGCTATTATGAATAATTAAAAACATTGAATGCTACATTACACAATCATTGTAATCAATACAAATTCTCTAACGTATCCGGTATTTAATGTCTATCGAATTCTGTATCTGCTCTTTATTATGGTCAGATCCGTTCCTTTTGATAAATGATCTAAATAGGTACGGGTGCTGAATCCTTCCCGTGCCTCTTCCTTTGCCTTTGCTCGTTTCTATTGTTGCCCGTGACTCTTCACTAATTATAATTCTTTGACTATTTGACCAGTCCACGTGTCTCAACATATATAAATTCAATTTTTTTCCAATACACTCATCCGCTTCACTAACCGCTAGGCTGTTTTTTCATGTCGATGTTATTAGCAGCCAAAGCAAAGAATGCACATCAATAATAAAAAGCAGTTCACTAGTTTGGGTGGAAGCAGGATGGATCTAGTCATGTTTTCTCATCTGCGTCATTTGGATAACTTATTTGTCTTGACACATTCATGTTGAACATGTGTCTTATAGGTGTTCATACAGTTCTTTGAAATATATCTAAAATTAGAAAAAGACTGCATATTCTTATATATTATATGAAATACTTAAATTAGTTACATATACCCATGTCAGGAAAAGAGAGTTTCTAAAGAGTCTTGATCCGTCTATTTCATAAGGTCCACACATGCTTCCACTGCACAAACGTTTCAACTGTTGCATACCAACGAGCTGATTAGTTCGAAATTTACTGAACACCCTAGGTACATAAATTTCTTAGAAGTTCAATTTTTTTTTTAACTGACAATATATAATTTTGTTCCACCATTATGCTTCATCAATTTTGTTTTTGTTCCACCATTATGTTAAGTTACATGTAAACAATAGGTAACTGTTTAAAACAAGCATGATCTTACAACCTGANCACACTTTCATAGTACTAAATATTAGTCCAGTATCAATCATGTGAATTTGACGTGCTTGTCTTTGTTCATAGAGTAAGTGCAGAACAGTCACACACTTCCTTTTTCTATTTTCTTATCTGCTTGCATTATTATAGCATCATCCCAACCAACCATTATCCAGTGCCCATGTTCTTCCTTTCTCTATCAGTATCCATTTAGCATATGTGATATGGCTGAAATTATATTACCTTAATAATATGCGTATTCATCAAATACGAAGCAGATAAAACTATCAAAATTTGCAGTCTCCCTAGCAATTGTTCTCAGAAATTTGAAGGGTCCAATAGATGGCTTTCTATGACTACAATGGTGATGCTGGTGAGTGCCACTTGACTCCTTATTTCAGTGCCCTTTATGATTATAATGCTTTTCCAATTCAGTCTTCAATATCATATTCTTACTATGGATATAGCAATTCAGAGCAAATTGAACAGAGTACTAATTACAATTACTACTACACTACTCAAATGCATCCACAATTAAGTTACTCTGTTCACAATTCTACTGAGCCAAAACTTATCCACTATGAAAAGGCTGCTAATTCTTTGGAGACGCGATACATAATCTCTGATTCAACTAAAGAACATGATGACACTCTGTTTGAAGAATATGATCCAACCCCTTATGGTGGTGGCTATGACATGGCTCAAACCTATGGCAAATCCCTTAGCCCCTCCAATAAAATCTGTTATCCTCGATCGGTTCCTAAATCTAATGGACTTAAAGGATTCGAGTCTTTCGACTATGGATCAATTCCTTCACCCTATGTAAGCCACAATAATCAGCCAGAAGAACCTCAGGATCAAAGCAAAGAGATGGATGTCAAAGATGAGCGAATGCCTTTATCTGGTGTCAAAGAAAAACCCATTCTTGAGGATGACATTCTTGAAAAACCAATAGTACCTCTTCAACAAGATAAAGATTTTGTTGCTGGAAATGGAACTATAGGGGAATATGGATATGATTATGGGAGGCAATTGCAGCAAATTCCTTATGGTTCAGGCTTGGAATCTATGGATTTATGTGAAAGCCTATTTGGTTACTGGCCCTGCTTAGCCAAACAAAACCAAAGAAGAAACTTGAACTATATAAACAGTTCTGAAGATAGCAGCAATGAACAATGGCAAAGTACTGCAGATTATCTTTTTGGGAATCCCTTTGGATATGGTGGTAATGAAAGATATGGGAATTCAGCTTATAGCAATCAAAATTACTACAATCAGCAACAACCTTATTTTATGAGTGATTGTTAAGAAATACCTTATCCAATTTGTTCAAGAATAATTGTAGCAAATGGCCACACTTCATTTGCAATTTAGTACTAGTTCCTTTGACAGTTCTGTGCTGTTTGAAACATAAGGCTGAAGTTAATGTGACTCAAGGGCTAGTTTACAAAAACAAAGTATCCAGTAATTTCCATTTTCCTCGCCCCCAGAGCATTTGTTCAGCGGTAATAATGCAGCACGTATGTGTTAGGTCAAGTGTTCGAACCCTGTATCAAACAGAGGCTGGTATTTAAGCCCACAGGATAATGAACAACACTTCATTCTCTCTCCAAATAATAAGATATTTTACAAATTGCTTTCTTGTGTGAATCTTGCTGTAATCTAGTCTCTGTAGTTTATTTATTAATTAATTAATTAATTTATTTTGTTATGCTGTTATTGTCATTTAGTTACTGTTTTATATCCTGATTGGCCAAGCTGGCCAATAGTGCTTTTTTTCTCGAGATCAATTTTTTTCCCCTAACTTTAGTTGTTTGGCCAGGCTTCTCTGGGGGAAAGTACTTCTGGGAAGAAGCAGAAGTAGTTTCTGAGAAGCAGAAAAAAGTAACTTACTCCCAAAAGCAAAAGCAGAAGCAGTTTTGTTTTTTCTTCTTACCTAAAATACCTTAACAAAATATAATATATACCAAAATAACCGTTAAACCTAATACTTAGGATATTAATGTATAAGTATTTCTTCTTATTTTTAGATAACTTTCTAATATAGAATGACTTTAGGGGTGAATGCTTTTGTATTTGTTGAATGAATTTTAATATATTTAATTTATATTAAAAGAATTAAATACTTTTTTATTTTATTTTCATTTTGTACTTAAATAAAATGAAAAGATTTAATTATTGCCTGTAATAACAAATTTTTGAGATTATTTATTTACTTATAATATTAACTATTAAGTAAAACTATTCATATCCTTATTCGTAATTTGTTACTTAAAAGCATTTTCTGAAAATCTTGGTCAAACACAAATTATTGCTCAGAAGTGCTTTTTAAAGTGATTAGCCATATACAAATTATTTCTCTCCAAAATTATTTTTTTCAAAAAAACTTTTGAATTAAGCACTTATCAAAATAAGCTGATTTCTCCACGTTTGCCAAACACGGTATTAGTTATCTTGGTCCAATTTTATTTATCTAGATATAAGGTACGTTTAACTAAAAGGAGATATTCCTTAGGTGAAACCTCTAAGCAGACATGAGATTAACTAATTATGAGATATTAGCAGGACAAATAAAAAGCAAAAACATATAATAGTAGTTTAAATCTAGTGGTTGAGAGCTGGAGCTCATAAGCTCTTAAGCTCACATGAGCTTCACACAATTCCACTTTGGTGGACCTATGTGTAGGCTAACAATTTTTAAATAAAAAAAAAAATATCTAGCCATCTAGGAAAATAAAGTTGGCATAGATTCATAAAAGCAACAATAACAAATTTAGTGTGATCCCACGTAATTTGTCTCTACTTTATGAAGCTAGAGAGATTATTTCCGATAGACCTCGGCTCAAAAAAAAAATGAAAAAGAAGCAAAAATAACAAATAGTAACAACAGTAAAATAGGTGATATAAAGACAGAATAACCGAAGCAAATGAGCCAATATATAGTAAAAGAAACTTACGGATAAGAAGATAAAAACATACAAGACTAATACTAATGTAACCGGCATGAAAAGGAGACACTCACGCATATATACTAACCTTCTACCTTAATCCCCAACCTCCATACTCTCCTATCAAAAGTCATATCCTTAGTAAATTGAAGCTCCGCCATGTCTTGCCTAATCACCTCTTCCGAGACACAGTTAGCATAGAAGAATTACTATTATTTATTGTCCTGCTACAGATTAAAAGAAAATTTAATCATGATTTGCCTGAAAATGCAATGATCAACCTTTCTCTTCTTTCAAACTCAACAGCTGTTAAACTTTCTTTTTTATTTATTTACTTTGACAAACTGTTGCATTTTCTTTGACATGTCCTCTTTGTCTTCCTTTGATAATAGCATGGTTTGCTGACTTGCTGATTGTACTACCACTTAACGTTCTTAGGAAAAAGATTTTAGGGGAAATTTAATGGAATAACTAATTTTGTATTATGAAGCAATTATTATTTCTGAAAAATATAAATGAACGATAATAATTTACCAAGATTTTTTTTCTTCACACAGTCATTGATTTAATAGAAGTGGGCATATTTTTCATGATTCAATATTCTTTGAACGTAAGCTCTTCAACAACCTTATTGGAGACGAAGGGATATAAGGTTCTAAATAAAACCATAGCGAATATAAATATATTGTAACAAGTTTAGAGGTTTGGAAAAGTTAGAGCAATGTCACAAGGATGAAACATTAAGAATAGCTAATTATATTTTTTTATTAATAAAGAATGGAATGAGTGGAAAGGAAAGTCAGGTTTAAGACAAGCACAAGACATTCCAATCACTACATGCACGAAAAATAATTCGGCGAGGCATAAAAAGTCATAAAGAGAAAGAAAGTGGTTGCCTAGAATATCATTACGAATCATATCTTTTATTAATTAAGATTACTAGCCCCTTGAAAAAGCTATTTTTTATACCATGGCATTTTTTCTCTGTCCCATGCTTTGTCTTAATGCCCGCGATTTTGGGTACTTTGTGGCAAAAAAATTTACCCCTTAATACCCCTCCCACGACCTTGACCGTCTATGAATTTGTCTTCTATTTTATTTTATTTGTTATAATAAATAATCGCAAATAAGTATTTGGTTCTTTACAAATTTGATGCCAATAAATATGCAAATCTATGCCGACAGTTTACACAATTTTATACAAATAACATGTATTACTCATGTAAGGTTGATTCAGAGTGAAATTTGAACATTTTTCAAGTGAATTAACTTCAATACGGATTTAGTTTTCTTATTCATTTTTAATACTTTAGAGAGAATATATAATAATAAGAATAAATGAGGAGAAAGATTCAAAGTAGGTGGAACCTCGTAGTTTCCGTCAAAAGAGATTTTGATGAAAATAACAGATAGCAGTTCTAAGTTGTAATTTATGCAATTCTACTTGTGCCCGTGGCAGCTGCAACTGCTTCTTTCTGGCATGATTGGCTATCACACCATGTATTACTAACCTTTAACCCTAAGACAATTGTCTGGTGTCGCCTATACTTCTTATTTTAGTATGTACCTTTTCTGCCCTTTTCATGTCAGCCATCTAAGAATTGGATTTGAGTGTAATTGGGTATAATTACACAGTTTAGTATGTTTATTTGGCCAAGTAATTACTTGGTCAGTATAAAATTGGGTGTAATTGGAGGGGTGTAATTACACTCTCCAATTCTCAAGGGGGACTTGAGAATTGATGGTAATTACAAGGTTGAATTTTAGTTTCTTTCCCTTTTATTTTAATTTTAATTTTTTTTCTCTATAACTTTTTATTTATATTTTTAAAATTTTTAAATTTTATTTTTACTTTTAATTTTTTGTTTTAAATTTTAAAATATATTTTCTTTGTGCATTATTTATATTTTATTTCTCTACCTTTACTTCTTGTGATCCTATGAAATTGCTTATATTTTATTTATTTTATTATTCTATTTTTTGAAATTACACCTCCTAATATTAGAAATAATGAGTCATTAACAAACTTGGATAATGAGTGATGCAATTAAAGTGAAATTTCGTTATTGAATGTGGTTATAAACTTAATATATTTCCTAATCTTAAGTTGTAGTGGAACTTACTATTATTATGTTGGAATTTGACATATGTTAAACTATTTTTTGTATTTTAAAATTATATTATATTCATGGTTCCAATTTACTTGTTTTAGTAGTATTGGCTCATATTGCATGTTGCTCATTTTTTAGTTAGAATTGATAGATTAATTTTGTCAAACATCTGAATAATGTTATGACATTATATTTATAAATATTAATTTAATTTATCAAAAATGAATTCCATGTTATTTTACAAAACGTATGTTTTTAGTTCTTGTAAGTATCTAAATTAAATATTATTAATTTAATATATATATATATATATATATATATATATATATATATATATATATTATTTTTACACTATTAGTTATAAATATATGATTACTAATAATGTATATTAACGAAAAATATACATCTTAAATACCAATTATAATATCATTTATACTTACAAAAATTTGTAGGCATATATTTATTGTATTAACTTTTAAGTTTTGATAATTACTCCATTTAAAATTTTATCTAACTGTGTTATTACACTAGTGCAACCAAACAATAAACTTGTAATTACACTGTAATTACACTATGACAAACAAACATGTAATCATAATTACACAACTATGTAATTACTAGGTCATGTAATTACTACCCTAATAATTACACCAATTCCAATTAGCTGGTAGCTTCCCAAACAAACCCATATTATGCCCTCTTGTCATGGCCCCATCTCATTTTTTTTTAACCCTTTTCACTAATTAAATGGTTACCCCACTTGAGTTATTGACCAAAATGACCATAGCCGCCACCTCAGAAGATTGTGAATTCTGATTTAGTACTTCATACTTATATTCTTTTGCCTTGAATACATCATACATGACTGCTTTGAAAGCTGAAGAACATTAAAATGGTGGACAGAAAATTATCCCAAAAATGGTATGACACAAGTTGAGAGATTTATTGAACCTTTTTTAGATTAAATGAGATCCTATTATACTGGATCTTTAACTTTTTACTTGCTTAAACGGGTTGATGAGGAATTCCTTATTTTTGTATTAGATTATTTCGATACTTACAAATAGCACGCAATTGTCCATTTGTGAATGTATGCATTGTAACAATAACATTGATAATGAATCTCAGTTGTCTATTTATCAATGCATTAAAAAAATGTATAGACAAAACCTCTCGAAGTTCAAATTATCCTAGTAAGTATATGTTGCTAACAAATGCCCAAATCATAGTGACCAAGAAGGTACTTTGGGAAATGATTGAATTTATATTCTTTTATAAAATACAACACCACATTTATAGGGACAACATCTTGAATTATTAAAAAGGGTAATATGGTAAATTAGTCAGACATAATTGAGGATATGGCCCACCTTCTCACACCATAAACCTTGTTAAAATCGACCCTTTTTTCTTCCTTCCTTTGAACCATTTTTACACCACTAGCTAATCCATGGCCAACCTTCACAGCCTCCTCAAGATATATACACTTTTTCTATCCATTTTTCTCTTCTCTTTCACCATTTCCTCAGCTTCAATCCATGATCTTCTCAGAAGCAGGGGCCTCCCAGCTGGGCTATTCCCAAAGAATGCTGTAAAATCATATGATCTTGATCAACATGGTCATCTTCAAGTCTACTTAGACAGTCCTTGTGTTGCAAAATTTGAGACAAGGGTGTTCTTTGACAGTGTTGTGAGAGCTAACCTTAGCTATGGTGGATTAATTGGAGTGGAAGGTCTTTCTCAAGAAGAGCTGTTTCTTTGGTTGCCAGTGAAAGATATCATAGTTTATGATCCTTCTTCTGGTTTGATCTTGTTTGACATTGGTTTGGCTCATAAACAAATGTCCCTTTCTCTCTTTGAAGAGCCTCCTATTTGTAGTCCTCAAGGTACCCTCTTTAATTTCTTTCATTCTTTATATAACGTTGTCAAAAATTCATTAATTCTTGATTCATTAGTTTGTCTTCTCTGATCTCCTTTTATCACAACTACTAGTTATTGTTTTTCAAGAACTTGTTTTTACCTTCTATTATGTTTGGCTATATAAGTGGTCGGAGCATCCAGAATTTAAATTTGACGAGTTTAATGTTTATGTTACCACCACTGAATTCACTGCATATGTTCCGTTCAGTTGAATCCCTCGGAACTACGCAACATCCGCCTCTGGAGTGGTGCTAATATAATTGGATCTGAAATTTGTTTGTTCTGAACCTAATAGAAGATGCAAAATATGTGTTCTTTCTAACATCTAAGCTTAAATTTCATTGCAGGAAATGCAGGTGTGTTAATGAAGAAGGAAGGAAGGAAAGAGACTGGATTTCAGATTGAAAGATATAAAGATCTTCCAGTCAGTGGAATCTGATATGCTTCCAGTTTTGGTTCTGTTTTTTAAATTTTGGCTTTGGCTTTGTCTCAATTTGAGGATGGTTGAAGACTTGAAGCTTGATAAAGATAAAGTGCATTGAGGTTCTCATTTAGGTGCTTGTAGGGTTGTATAAAGTGGAAACTAACAGTATAAAGTTTTGGAATGAAACTGAGAATTTTGAAATCTTCATTTTAAATAATACTTGCCTGTTGAAATTGATATATCATGAGTCATGAAATACCCAAAGCAGAAATATATCGTGTGAGCATATATGGTATACTTCTGTCCTAAAATATTCACTTCCAATTCAAATCATTGCCTGCGTTGGCTGCTACAACCATTAAATCCTGGCCTATCTGACTCAAAATGAAGACAAATATAACATGAATAATTAAGGTAATGACATTTATGACAGTTAATTTCGAGAATGACCAGACTTCAAATAAATTTGGTCATAGTCAAATGGAGTATAAAATAACACATGTGATAGGGGCGGATATAGCTTTTGGCGGCCGGAGAAGGTACGCCAGCCAATTGCATATTTTCATTATACTAGAACTGTGTGCATATATGGTTGAAAATCCGAAAAGACTATATTTGATCATGTCATAAATATTCTCCTCCCTTTTCAGTGCCTATGACAGGAGTCCGGTTAAACAACATATTTTTCTGAGTTTTTAGGTATTTTTAAAATAAATTTTACATATTTTAAAATTATATAATAGTATTATAAATCACAATAACTAATTAAAATATAATAAAGTTTAAAAAAAATGTGATCAAGGAAAACTTGCTTTACATGATAGTGTCACAGTATGCAGAGGAAGTGACTAAATTGATACATGGTCCAAGCTATGGTCAAAGATAGAAATACAATTTATCTCTCTATAACAATACTTCACTATAAAAACCAAGTTTTTCCGGAACCAACTATGTTTTATATAACAAAATTTTACTATAACATTAAAAACTATTCGGAACAAACAATAAAAGAGTTCTGTTATAGAACTGTAAATCATGTTAATTATGTTGTAACTCATTGTTATTGTGCATATGTAGAATTACCCGTGAGTTAGACATAACTTGTAGCTAGGTAGGGTCACACTAATGTTTAGGGCACTGGAAGAAGAAATGAAAGAAAATCTGTAGCACCATTTTAATGTGTATCCATTTCTGCAGCAACATGCATGATGAGGTTTATTTGCATTGCTGTAATTGCATGACCTATTATATCAATTATGAGGGGCAATGTGGGCCACAGAAATAATTTGTAATCTTTAAGCTTGAAAAGACCAGGGTGGCCTGTAGATCCATGTGTTAATAGTATCAATTTTAGACTTTATACTAAACTTTTGCTGACCAGCTACTAGCCTTGGGTCCACAGGTTTGGTCAGATTATTAATTTTGATTGAATAAGAAAAAATGTTAAGGAAGATAGTAATTATCATAATGGATTTCAAGTTGATTATTAAGCTTCTTGAAGAAAAAAGAGAGATCCTCCTAAATCAGATTTATGCTATTGATTTATGAAAGGAGACAATGAAAATGATATAGGTGGTTAGAATAGCGTCAAGTTTGTTGTGCAATCTTTTTTCATCTTCCTATCTTTGTCCTCTATATCTACAAATATACAATTTCCATTATTGTAGTTTTGGATCTTGTGTAAAATGACTTTGTCTAGAGCTGAAGCTTTGCTGGTTAAGACTATTTTGTTTTTTTATTCGCATTATTGAACTTTAATTTGGATCTTATGTCTCTACGGTTTCCAATATTGAAGTCTTGGATCTTATGTAAAATGCCTTTTAGAGATGAATCCTTCGCAAATCAAGGACTCTTTTGTTTTGTTATTTTTTCATTTCACAAAATAAAAAAGTTCGGGTTAAATTTCATAGACAGTCATTCAATTCTATATTTATTGCATCAAAGTCATAAAACTAAATTTGTTCCATAAATACGAGTAAGAAGTAGAATTCACGAGAGCCATAGGTTCCCCTCATCTTGGCACTTGGGCTTAGGCATGTGGCTTGATGGAAAAAATTTGGTCATAGACAAATATAACCTTTGTTAAAATATCTTCAACAGTTTTACCAAACTAAAATACTATTAGCTAGATATATGTAATTAGATTAGATTACTTAGCCATCTAAAATAAGCAAAAGCTTGTCATATATGTGAGTAACTTAACATTGAACCCTGTAAATGTCTGAATTGGAAACCAAAAGGAGTAACAAAATCAGAATGGTATGTCTCAGCCCTGAGTATGTTCAGTTCTTCTTCGTGTGACTCGAATATAACAAAAAATGGAAGCAATAAGGGCAATGGCAAAGCCTTCCAAGGATCAAGTCTCCACCGGCCATGGACTTGTCAAAAGAGTGATGAGTCCTTATATGTATGATTGTCGAAGCCTGATCACCTTTTCCTCCCTCAAACGGCGCAGGAATTGGGGCTAATATCAAGGTGTCTAATCTACTAAGCGCGTAAGCATTTAGCATAAGCAAGACCAACTGAGCTAAAACTAGGCAAATGTGGAGAAACCTGAGCCTAGCCATAGGAAATATGAAGCTTGGACGTAGGAGATTTTGCCAAGTCCTAGTTGTGCAAGTATTGAATCCTATTAATAGAGGAAGACAGACTGAGAGAGTCTCTTTCGTGTTAATATTATAAAAAGGGTAGGTACACTTTCCATGGTCTTAAATTTTGAAAATTTGACGTCCAATTTGGTTTTCCAAATGGTCTTTGTTGGATTCTTGACCTGTTTGGGGATGATTTTAACAAGGGCAGGTTATGTTTGAGGCAGGTTTGTTTTTTGAGAACGACACTGGTCAGAGAACAGAGAAGAAAATAAGACAGACAGTGTTCACACGTCTAATATTGGTGTCTGTTCAATATTTTATTCCAACCAAGAGCATACTTCACTGGTCTTATTTAACTGTTTCTTGAGCTGGAAGTGACCAAAAATACTAAACATATTTTCATATCTAGAAGCCAAAAAATGTGAAGTCTGGATCCCACCATGGAATATTCAAGTCAAAAGCATATTATATTCAAAGTTGAATTAAGTCAAACTTGACTGCACGAAAAGCTATAGACTTAAGATAGAAGAAAGTGATTAGAAACATATGATATGTTGCTTCAGCAATATTTGGATGAAAAATAAAAGAGTTCACACAAGCTCTTTTCAGACAATTTGGATACAATGGATTTTCATCTTTTAATGATGGAAAACATGATTAAATCCTTTTGACATTCATAACCAAAAGTTAAAGGTACTCTGGCATTTCTCCAAAAAATCTAATTCCTATTAGAATATATGGTAAAAGAGCACTCAAATGAGACTAATATTACTAATAATAAGGAACTTATGCTGCTGCTAGTTTCTCTAGATGCCGCGGATGATTTCCAGCAAGATCTCTCTGATTTGATGAGCATCAATTAGTCCTCCGCGAACCACCTGAAATACATAGAAAGATAAACAAATTGGTTATGTTCTTATATTGCAGGACACAGAGTACAAAATATTAAGCAGGATATCTTTTCTGTGCTATTACAAAATCTTGATATCCTTAGGTAATGGTTGTAAATTGCTACTAAGAATCTTACTTTTTAAACAATATGATATGTTTGCTTACCTCCACAGATGAAGTAACAAGAAAAGCTCCTTTAGATGCAGTGACACTGGTGTCATTGAGATCAAATCCAAGAACATTCATTGCCTCCATCAGTTTAGTAAATCCACCTCTTTTCTTCTGGCAGACTATCTTCATCCAAAGCTTATTTGTACCAATGTGAGCCACTTGAACTTCAGGCTGTTTTATGAAAAAAATAATGTGTTTAAATGTCTGGTACTAGTAGATTAGGAAATTAAAGTTAAACTGAAGAATTAAAGATTGTAACTTTGGTTTATAAATAAAGTTGCCTACCTCTATGCCCCAGTTAGCCATCTCCTCAGCAGTATCAAGAATCTCTTCACTTTTTCTCTCCAATTCCTCTCCATGAGTTGCCTCCATTTCTAAAAGCTGCTCACTTAGGTTGTTTACATTCGTTTGTAGCTCCCTAATGTAAGTGATGGCATCAGTAATTATGGTTTCTTTTGTCATCTGAAATCAGAAAAGAATTTAAGATTTTAGAAAATGGTTTAGATACATTCTTTAAAAAAATGTCACTGGGATTTATATATTAGAATGAAGGGTTTTGATTCATTGCATTTGTAATGTTTGGGACCAAAGAGCGCAATTCAAGAAGCCTTTCACTAAGTTTTTGACGCCGCCTCCTCTCAGCATCAAGGTTCTTGGATTTGTATTCTCTAACTTCTCCCTCAATTTGCTTCCTTTTATCCATTTTCCCTCCTATTTTACTTCCTTCAGATATGTTTGAATCATCAAATGGAGTGTTAGGGAATTCCATTTTATCACACTTAATTATCATTTAATGCAAGTCAAAAAGAGAATTGATCCAGTATGTTAAAATGGATTCCTAAAATTAGAAAGGAAATCTAAAGAGGGAGAGCAGGTGCTAATGATTAATCTTGAGTGCAGCACAAAAAAGAGGCACTGCACTGGTTTTTGTTGAAGGCAGGCAATAGGTTTATATAGGTGCTCCTCACAACAGAAACATTTCTTGGTGGTGGGAATCTTCTTGTTGCAGTTTGTTGGGCATTTCCTAATTGATCATAATGTACTTGGGGTGTTTTGAAAGGACTCATTTTTGGCATGAGAAAGAGTGTGTGTGTGGAGGTTCAGGCACTACAATATTGCTTTTTTGGCCTTAAAACTTTTCAATATTGCTGAACTATTGGAGAAAACTCATATGCTACTTCATAATTAACTAGTGATAACAGTGACTGAATGGAAAGGCCGACATACTGCCGAACAACTATGCCTTGATCCCAAATAGTTGGGGTTGGCTATCCTCATTAGTCACTATTTACGCGCTAATTGTCAACTTATCACAATCCTTTTCCTTTATAAGGACTTATATAATTAGCTACTGCTCCTGGGGGTGTAAGCATACATTTTTAGGTTCGAACCTTTGATCTCCTAAAGCAAAATCGCATGACACCGCTTTATCAAACATGCATCCGTCCTTGACTACTCCCTCCATTTCAATTTATGTGATCCTATTTTCTTTTTAGTTCGTGCCAAAAAGAATGACCACTTTCCTTATTTGGAAACACTTTACCTTTATGTAACAATTTATAACCAAACAAAATATATGTGCCTTATTTTACACCACAAGTTCAAAAATCTTCTTGTTTTTCATAAACTACGTGTCCAGTTAAATAGGTTGACATAAACTGAAATGGAGAGAGTATAATTTTTTAGATCTTTACATAAAGAGGTTAAAGAGTGGCAACTAAAAAAAGAAAGAAGAATGGAAGGGCGGGAGTGTTGTTCGTTATGTTTGTGACTATTATGTGGTTGTTACTAGTATTAATGGCACAAGAAAGTACAAATGAGTGACCAGAGCTGCTTTAAGCAGGAATTTTTATTCTCATTTCACCTTTTCACTACTGACAAGAATAATATTTTAAGTACAACCTGATTTTGTAAAGCATTAGAAAGAGTTTATGTTATTCCAAGCATGTATTCTGTACTTTAACCGGTATATCTTTGAACTTCACTATCCATTTTCAGAATATTTACATGACATGTTCCACTTGGTAATCAAGGTTTATCAGAAAACACGATATCGCTATTTTGTGGGTTAACCAAGAAAATGAGGGATTTTTAGTCCTGATTGTTACTCTTTTTCTTTAAAAATTACAGCTTAATTTGTTCCAAATACTATATGTTATTTTTCCGCTTTTATTCTTTTCACCTTGCATTTATTAGCAAGTCTAAAGGCAAAAGGAGTTCAAATTTAAAATACAAAGAATTTATTTCAAAGAACTGATGGTGTAAAAGAATTTACTCTATCAAGCTATCGAAAAAATAACTACAAATAATTATTGATAATACATAGAATTAGTAATGTGAAAATTAGGCAGGTAACTATTAGACAAGTTAAATTACACTGATATACAAATATTTTTTAGATTGAATGCGAAATTAAATTCATTTCAAAAATCTATTCACATCACAAAAACAAAGAATCGCATGTAAAGTAAAAATTCATTTATGCAAAAATTACATAAAAATACTACATGATGCAATACTTACGTTTGATAACCATAAGGTAAGAAATGGTAACATTGTAGATCAATTTGGCGAAGTGGTACTCAGCGCCAAAATAAGCAAATCAGATGTCTACTTCTTCACCTCTCCGCTGTCTCCTCGCCGGAAACAACAATGCACCCATCACAACAACAAAAGCTACCATTACTTCTTCAAGACCCACCTGTCGCACACCCCAAGCAATTGTAGATTATTTTAAAAGATTATCGGAATGCCCCAAATTCCGACGCCAACGCTTCCATTATGAAATTACCGTTCGCCAACTTGCCGATGCCAACCATTTCTCCGGCATTGAAGATATTATCAACAACGACAACAACAATATCCCAGTATAATCCCACAAGTGGAGTCTGGGGAGGATAATATGTACGCAGACCTTACCCCTACCCCGAGGTGCAGAGAAGTTGTTTCCAGGAGACCCTCGGCTCAAGAAAGCAACAAGAGGCGATATATTAGTACTCTCAATAGACTCATAATAAAATAACATAACATAACATAAAATACATAACATAAAATAACAGAATAACAACAATATAAGAAATATAGAAAATACAAAAAAAAATGGAAGGTATACTAATATCCAACAGATAAAGCCCTGCATCAGTAGCTGATCAGTAGCATCCTAAAAGTAACTCCTAACTGGCTAGTCTCACTCTAGTGCGCTGTAGAAATATTCACAACTTCTCTCTAACCTACAACCTTAATGCTCGAACTCCACAATTCCCTGTCAAGGGTCATGTCCTTACTAATCCTAAGTCGTGTCATGTGATGCCTGATCACCTCTCCCCAATACTTCTTAGGTCTCCTTCTACCTCTCCTCGTGCCCACCACAGCCAGTCGCTCACACCTCCTCACTGGTGCTTCAGTGCTCCTCCTCAGAATATGCCCGAACCATCTGAGTCTTGCTTCCCGCATCTTATCCTCTGTAGCAACCCCTTTGGGAGGGTACTACTTAGGAAAAATCTAATTTCCTACTTACAAAATATTAAAAGAGATATTAATAAAAATATTCAGAATAATTTTAGTAGCGGAAGTAGGCCCATGCGAAAAGGTTCAAAGTGCAATATATATATATTTTTTGAAAATACACCATAATTTTATTTTAGATGAAATACAATGTCAAAATATTAACATATGGTGATATAACCCTTCTGGATTAATCAACAGATTAAAGCAACTTCCTAACATATTTATACAATCATTCAAAATCACTACAAGTTTATATTGTACATAAATTTTAAACTATCGGGTATATATAAAACCAAAGGCAACTAGTTTTCTCCTTTTCTACATATTTACAAGACAAAGTGTAAATTCGACATATTACAAGACTTGAGTTATTAAAACACCCTAATACAATAAAATAGGTTACAAATTCAAGCTACAAGATTTTGGTCTTTAAAATCCAACAAGCCTCCAAATAACATAAGTGTGACATATATATATATATATATATATGTATATATATGTATATATGTATATATCCTGTATATCCTGTATATCCTGTATATCATGTATATCATGTACATGTCCCAAAACTATGCAAACCAAGATGCATATGCAAATGTGATCTCCATAAATTCTC